TAACCAGAACTAATCAACTCTAGAGCTCTTCCTGCTAAGAGGCTACGGCCAAGCAGCAGTGGGTGAGCAGGTAGCGGCGATAACAGAATGGGAAGCGCCGGGAGCATAACCTGCTGATTGCGGTCGGTCAGCACAATTCTTGTTAGAGGGTCCCCCTGTCTTTCCATTCCTCGATCCGACATTAAATTTTGTAATTCTCTGAATGAGCACGCAGCGAACTCTCAATTTCGATGGTTTTCCGAAATTCTTTGGAAGTGGGCTAGGAACTAGAAGACATTTCAAAAAGTGAAAGATCCGGCTGAAAAGAGTCCACTTGTATGCTCTATGCTTTATTCAGCAAGCTTAGTTCAGGCTCATTATTTTTCCGCTTTTGGCAATACTTCAACAACCCTCGCGAGAAGTTTTTAATAGAAATTTATCTCTGAAACTCTCTTATCCCGGTCTTTTTCGGAAGACCGAGGGTTTCTGAAAGCAAGGGATATTTTTGGTTGTCATCAGAGTCAAGATAACTCGAAAAGTCAGATTGGGCGGGAGAGAGATTCATTGGTGATTAGAAGCTGACTGCTCGAAGAAAGAACTGCCTAGAAAAAGGAGCGAAATTAATGATAATTAATGTATTTACTAGCACTGGGCGGAAGTGGTGTAGTGGCAAGTGGCACGCTTACCACGCGAGCGGTCCGGGGATCAAATCCTGGGTCGTGAGTCGCCCGGGCCAACCAAGCCTTCCATCCCTCCGGGGTCGGTTATTGGTACCAGACTTGTCTGGGAGGATAAAAACACTGACTTGTACATCGGCTGGCCCCCGCAAGTCATTGTATAGGCCACATCGCATTCAAACGCCACTACGAATGTACAAATGGAAGTAGAATGCGTGCCGCATCCCAAAAAGGGATTGATCAACGGCAAATGCTTTATCCTTTTTATTTACTAGCCTTGCGAATATGGCATTTCATTGTAATGAAGATTAAACTTTAGTCGTCAACTATGCTTTCAATACCTTTACGACTTGACTCAACTCTAAAACGAATTGAATCGACCACATCTTCAGAAGTTGGTAGTCTCTGACTTAGAAGTTCGAAAAGATTCACACAAGCCGACCACTCACCAACCCCCTCGGAAAAACCGATAAAGTTGTTGTAACGGACTGACCGAACTGCACTGGGCGAACCATATGATACCACCGCATATGCAGGATATCAAAAACGCGTAAAAGGCGCTGTTTTGATATGTCGTTTCGTCCATCTGAATTGTATTTTATAAATCTACTATTTTTCTAATCAGCACTTATTTTGAACCACGTTACCTGCAGCGACTTGAAGGCAAAGAGATAGGCCAGCCCAAGACCGGGAAGTTCCAGCGCTCGAGTTGCAGCTACAAAGAGACATACAACCGCAAGCAATCGTGAACCCTTCATGTTACGGTAGAGAATACCAAGACCTCCAGAGGCGTCGTTGTCCTGGAAAAGACGGATACGCTGCAGGCAAGGCGAATGGTGCATACATTCGCTAGAGATGATACTTCTAAACTATGTAGTCGCGAAACAACTTGTCATGTGAAATATTCACTTCATTTCCTATCTTTTTTCAATCTTTTTTAAGCTTCTCTGAGAAGAAAAAAAATGTGAAGTTTTGTTGGAAAACAGACGTGGACTCATTCAAAAGGTCGCAAATAGAAACTCACAAAACTTGAAGGAGGCAGCAGGCCAGATACTGGGACATACGCCGAAGGCAGTGGTCCTGCTCTGGATCTTTTTGGCGCAACGGGAAACCTGAAATGGAATATTTCGTTTTTCATATTTATTTGAACCGGTTCACTAACAGTGCTGTGAAATCTTGACAGCCAGCCACATCAAAAGAAAATTCCTCAAGCTTGTTTTTGCAAAAAATATTTCTGTCAAAAACACAACCCAGGGCTAGTTCAGATGGATGAATCCTTTTGATCGGTAGCATAGAGCTTTTCAGGAAAGCCATAGATGTCTGTTCTTACGATGTGCCTAGCGAAAAATCTTAGGCCTTCGAAAAAAACTCCGCTTCAACCGCTTCATTTTTCTGGTCCGTAATACGAAGGTGTGCGGCGTTTTCTCATCCGTTGTGTCTAGCATCATGCCTTCTGCTCCACGTCCACTCTATCATTGTCTCATCACCACCGAATCAAAAACTAATTAGGCTTCTCAGCTCGAAGGTTTCCCTGATCTGAGGTCTGCCTTCGTACCAGCAGTAGTGCTGCCTCGCTATTATTATTATTATTATTTCATTTAGGCTTGCATACAATCACATGACTTTGAACTGTTGGGTTCGATGTCGTGTTCAGAAATGAGCCAGAGGAAGTGATTGAATCATATTTCAGGGACAACCACTCTGAGGGAGCGGTCAGTCCTTGAACTCTTTCAGCCGCGCCCCGACGATCCATAGCTAGGTCTATCCTGGAACTGTTGCGCATTGGCCAACCTGGCATATATTCCACCTTTCTCCATCAGCTCATCGTGAGATCCTGAGAGGAGTCATTTTGCGAATCTTTGACAGATTGAATGGAAGATAAGCTCCATTGAGGGAAAACGGTGATGCTGCTTACCTTTCTCAATAACCTTTCCCTTTTCCATAACATATATTTTCTTCACCTCGCGAATAGTGCTGAGACGATGCGCGATAATAACAGTTGTTCGACCTTTAGCCGCTTTATTCAGGGCCGCCTGAAAACTTTTGAATGAATTTTCAACAAAGACAAGATTAGCTTGGTCAACTTGCCTGTTCGCAATTCCAAGAACCGCTGGAAAATAATGTACACCCCTCCCCCCGAAACGAAAACTTCGCGGTTCCTTCGAAGCTCCAGCCGCCTGTTTACAAATACTTCCGAAATTTTTGCACGGAATTCAGTGGACCCGTCCATCGAGGAAAGGAGACGGAAGGGGCCAAGATAAGGGTGAGCTTCAGTGAGGATGGCACTGTTGTTGAATGTTAGAGTCCAAGCGCTGATCGAAAAGGGTGAGTAACATAGCTACAGCTGCGGTCAAAAGTGTTCGCCGAAACGTTTTTTCGTGCATCATTTTTTCTCACTCAAATAGTGCCTTCAAATATTAATAAGACATGCCTTTTAAGCCTTCAAAACCTTGACTATTGAAGAGTTTAGATATTTGAAAGAAAGGCTTCAAACTAATCTTTAGATCTTTTTCTGGAGGGAAGAAATAAAATAACGAAAAAACTTTTTTGGTCCTACTGTATGATTGAATACACCTAGGTTTTGCACATTGGGCGATCGCAAGCAATAAAAAAGGCAACTGTTACCTAAAATGATATCAAGTAAGGCGTATTACGGTAGCCGAAATTGATCAAAAGGACGCCCTAGCTGACGTCAGTGGACCGCATCAATTTTCAACAGTCGATTAATAATGAGAATATTGGTATTGTAGCACAATTCTGCAAGGCAACAGTAACTGACACAAGGCAATGGTAAGAGAATCAAGTTGCGTGAGCAACACTAGGCAAATTGAGGATGGAGACAGGAATGTGCGAAAAGTTGCTCTTTATGCTTAACGATATGGCAAAGTGTACGGGTACGGGTATTTGCTAACCAATGGGGTCATGTCAGAGGCGAATGTAATGAGCTACAGTAACGGCACAGGATAAGCTCCAATCAGCAAACATAATATTTAGTAGTATACTATTTAAAGCGCCGAAATCGACCACAAGGCTTCAAACTCAGGTTGCGGCACTAATTGTGGAGATAGTTTGAAGGAACAACTCCAAATTGAATTTGCAGAGTAAAAACGTTCGATAATGAAGTTGTGGATGGCGATTAAACTAAAATGGAAAAAAGCAAAGAAAACCACCAATGAAGCAGCTAAATAAGGGACTCCATCTGTTTATTCTTGAAACGAAGGAGTGGTCCGGACGAGTTGTCCGAATTTGCCGCTACGCCCACTTCAAAGGCGTTCAGCTCCCTTTCTAGCGGCTTTCCAAGGTGAGTTTTTTGTTCAGTCACACTTCTTATGTTCTTGACTAGGGCTAGCGCATCATTTTCGCACCAGCAGAATCGCAGTGAGCATTGCTGGCACAAACCCAGGCAGAGGTCGTGTGAACGCTTCCCTTCGGTCTGTAGTATAGACCCCTAGAGGACAATCACAAATGTGGCGTTCCCGTGCACGGAAACCAACCGACAAGAGCGCTTGGGCCTTGCAAAGTAAGCTGCTGAAGCTGCAGATTTTTTCTCTTATCAGGCTGTTGTCTGGCGCTCTCTCATCTGTAGCGCTCTCTCATACTCTCCTCTCCGCGCTTAGTCTCTCATTCCCTTAGCACAGCCGATTAGGAAGGTGAGTGAGCCCTTAACCTAAGCGTTTTCGACGGATTCTTTTCCTTTTTTCTTTACTGCCGGCCCACTTTCGCACCAATACATTCGCATTCGTGTGCAAGAGCCACACCAATGTGATCCTGGGGCATGCCTTTAAGCATTTTTTGCACTCATTCGAATGCACAACGTTGCGTTTTGAATCATAAAAACGTAGTGAAAGAAGAGGAGTTTTACGTCGCGCTCGCGTTACAAAATTCATCACAAGGATGCTGAGTTGAGAGCAAAACTTTCGTTCCAATGCTGAGATGTGGACAACTTCACTATCGAATCTTAGTTGCGATAAAGATGCACAGCTGGTGTGACTAGTAGCGTGGACCTAGGAAGTAGTGTAACTGGTGGAACGAAAACCTATCTACACCTATGGTACTGCTCAATATCACACAGTCTTACTGCGTCCGGAAATAAATGAAATAAATAAACCGAAAGATACGGGTACGAATCCCGGCTGGGGCAAAAAGTTTGCTCACAACCAGCAATCCTGTGACAGCGATACTGAAATTTTTGTTTGACCCCACCTGCACGACTTTTTCACTGTTTGCGTCAAGAGCACTGGTTGCTTCATCCAAGAAAAGAATCCGTGGATCAGCAGCAACGGCCCTGGCTATGGCGATTCGCTGCTTCTGACCACCGGAAAGCGTCACACCACCAGCGCCCAAGTAGGTATCGAAACCCTGACAGTAGAAGCAGTAGTGTGTATATATGAAGAAATATGCCTCCCACCAAGCAGGTAATGCACAAATGGTCACAAGGTGCTACTAAGTAGTAAATGGTAGTACTAAATGCTTTACCGTAATTTTGCTAACATTACCTTCTCGAAGACGATTCACGAATTCGGTAACATTGGCGGTGTCGGCAGCTTGTATAATTTTCTCGTTGTCGATTCCGTCGCGACCCATTGATATGTTTTCTTTTACAGTGCCATTGAATAAATAAGGTTCCTGCTGAACTATCCCAATTCTCTAAAAAGTCGCAGCTTTTTGGGCCGAAACAAGTATATGCCACACAAGTCATGGGAACGGAACCTTTCTCAGCGATTCCACATCGTAGTCACAGAGAGGCACTCCATCGATAGTTATTTTACCATCACTGACTTCATAGAGTCGAGTCAGTAGACTGACCTGAGTAGGGAGGAGATCATTGCGGTGGGAGTGAAGCGAGGAAATTTCAGTACAACATAAGGAATTGACCATACCGAAGTGCTTTTGCCGGAACCACTTGCTCCAACAAGCGCAATCGTTTCGCCGCTGTGGGCTTCCCACGAAATGCCCTGAAAATCGGTACTCACGCCAATGAAGAACTCTCAGTCCTATTGGCTGTTCTAGACGAGTAAATATAAGGATGAAGAATGATTAAATGACGAAAATAAAGTTTCAAGCTGTATATGGCATTCAAAGAACAAAGAATAAGCCATAAGGAATTGCTAGTGAGCACCCGAATAACCACGTAGCTGAAGCGTATTTGAGAGGTTCTTTGTTGTTTAAATCACTTAAAACTAAAGACCCTTTTTACTCGTTAAGGCGCACAAAATCTATGTGTGGTCAGTGCTAGAATACCGTACATGCATTTACTTTCTCCCAGAAAATCTTTATTAAAGAAGCTAGAAAAAAATCAAAACAACTTCCCGAGGAAGCTATTCATCAGAGCTCTCGGATTCATTTAAAGCAGCATTCCTCGCGGGTTGATTAGAGATAAGATTCTCAATTTAGCCCCTCTGCAATTAAGATTGATAAACGACATTATTATGATCCATACAGTGTCCCTAATTAACGAGACAACCTGAAAGCCAAAATTTATGAGCTGATGCAGTCAAAAGCAGGGTGAATATCGGTCGAGGAAATCCTCGACAGGGGGGTCGTACCTGTTGGGCTGGTCCATGGGGGGTCGTACTCTTGGGGTCAGTAACAGAAGTGGTATCATGGTGCAGATAGGTAATAGGGTATAGCGCAGCAGAAAATGAAAACATCCGAAAAAAAACATGATATTAAATTTTCTTTGCAGGTTCAGTCGCTCCATTCCTCCACCTTCATGAGAAGGGCGTATTTGAAGGCAGTACAAAGAATGAAAGTGCATCCCCGCAAAGAAGACTGCCACATGTGCGCACGCGCTGCAAAGGCACCTCCTCTGCCTATCGCTCGCTCCTTCTCCCTTAATACCTCGCTGAGAATGACGCTGTTGTTAGGGACCCTGTCGGAAAAACGACAACCGTGAAGAAAAAGCGCTGGGCAAATGAAGTTGTTTTTAGGTTACAGGAATAGCACAACACACTATGTCTACTACAATACAGTTTCGTTCGAAGGTCCCCATCATATAACACCTTTCAATCGATTCTGCAACTGTGAGTGGAGGAGGGATGCATGGCTTATACCAATACCAAATCGGATGATGACGATTGCCCTATTCTTATTGTTTGCGTTCAAAGATATTGTTCTAGACACATTCCGAGTGTTGCCAACGAATCACACTTGCAATGGTGAAGAGGGAGCGGATTTTCAGGTGGCCGGATCCGTCCTCGATACATACTCGACGCAGATATCTTCTCAACTAGGAAATGTAGAAGAAAGCTAAGAAGACCATCAGAAAGCGCAAACCTTCCGCTTTCCAAAACTATCTTCCCTTTTTCAGGATCTTACGTTTAAGAGAGATATTGCTCTTGAAGTGGCAAAAACTCGCGTGAAAATTTCAGCCTCCTCGACATTTACTCGACGAAATTTGAGAGACCCTATCTTTCTGCATGGAAGGCTTCCAGAGCAATTTCAATACTTGTTGGAAACGCGAAATCCAGCTCTATCTAACTCTACCTCAAGCTGCTTCAAAGGTTGTGAAATGGAGGAATGCAACCTTTTCATCGAGGGTGTAGATTCGGACGTTTTTTTTGAAATTTCGGCAAATCTGACCCAGTGACAATCGCGCCGCAGCTGCCGTTGAATCGGCCTTTGATACACTCGGCTGTTTTGATATACTCAAGCAAGAATCAAGATTGAATCGCAACCCCGTGTCTTCAGGATTTCTGTGCGTTTCTGAACGAACCTCGCCTTGAGGTCACACAAAGTTAATGCCTCTTTCCTCGAGTCGATATTTCAGTATGTACACAAAAGTATGCAGCGATGGAAGACGTGCATAGATGACAAGATGAAGCGTCCTTAGCATTATTTTGCAGAATTTTTTTTTGATTTGTTTTGCAGGATTTATTTTAATTGAATTAATTTGCTCTGTTAGAGGGGGTCGTGCCAGGATCTCGATTTCGGGGGGGGGTCGTACCTCTGCGACCACGTACTCGACACGATTTTCACCCTGGTCAAAAGCTAGAGGGGAGCTCAACAAGCTCACTTCTCGACAGCCTCGTACTTCGGTTAGGAGCAGGCTCTTCACGATTCGTGTCGGAATGGAGTATTTTGAAACGAAACTAGCACAAATTCCGACTACTTTCCCAAATTCGAAAGCACGGTCTCTCGTTATCTTCATTATGTCAGATTAGATTCTCCTATTAATCCTGTTTCACTAGTTTGGTTCGATCTATATCACTCGTTCTTTCCGTCCTTGCGCTGTGCTCGTGGTTGTAGTTTTTTTTATTTTTTCTTATTCTTTTTCCACATGCAATAGCGTGCAGTAAAGTAAGTAAGTACAGGGTGGGGCAAAATTACTGGTGCACTAAATTTTCAATGGCATTTTGACAATAATTCTCACAAATCAATTCTAATTATCAATATTATTTACTACAAACATGACAATACAAAAAATGTTAATGCTTCTCAAAATGATCTCCTTTAGCCTTCACACAGTCCTTCAGACGTTCGACAAATGCTTCGCATGTGGCACGCAGGTACTGGTCATCGATTTCGTCCCAAGATTTTGAAAGCGCCGCCTTAAGAGAGTCCAAGTTTGGATGTCTGGTAGAACACGCTTTGCTCTCCAAGATGGACCACACAGAGTAATCCATCGGGTTTAGATCAGGAGAACTGGAGGGCCATTCGTCGTGTCTGATGAAGTCGGGCAGGTGCTCGGCGCACCACTCCTGGACCATCTTTGCTTTGTGTGCTGGAGCAGAATCCTGCTGGAAGCACCAGTAGGCTTCTCCGAAATGGGAGTTGGCCCACGGCTTGAGAACTTCCTCCAGGATATTTTTGTAAACCTCTGCGTTGATTTTTACACCAGCTTCAACGAAAACAAGTGGGGTCTTCCCCGTAGAGGTGACTCCTCCCCAAACAAGAATGGACTGGGGGTGTTTCGCTCTTTCCTGGAGTCTTGCCTTGGTGGTAGCATCAGCAAGTGATCCTGCAATAATCCTCTCATTTTGGGAGTTGAAGGCTGGATTCAGAGTAAAAATCTTTTCATCACTGAAAACGATGTCTCGGGCGCGTGCCACCGTGAATCGCTGCAGCAACTTCTTGCATCTCTCCAATCTCCTTTTCTTCATAATGTCCGTCAGGAGTTGGCATTTCTGCAAGCGATAGGGGAACTTCCTTAGCTTACTTCTGACAATCCTCCTCATTGACCTCGCGCTTACTCCAACGTCTTTCGCCATCTGGCGCATCGATCTCCTGGCGTTCCTTCGAATTCTTTCTCTGACGAGCCTCACATTTCTCCGACTCGTAGCTGTTGTGGGACGTCCTCTTCCTTCCCTGTCCTCTTCGGTCTTCAGTTCTTTATAGCGTCGTACTGTATTCTGAACCGTCCTTCGAGGTACGGAAAGGATCTTCACAATTTCTCTTGTTTGCTTGCCGTCGTTGTGAAGTTTGATGATCGCGCTCCGTAGGTCAGAACGACGGACCATTTTGTATTCGAGTACGTAGGAATTACGCAACCTCCAGGCAACATATCACAAGCGAGTGAAACAGGAAAATCTCCAAGAAGTGTTAAAAAATTCAAAACGTATAGGTGCACCAGTAATTTTGCCCCACCCTGTAAGTAACGTCGAAGTACGGGCTCTTTTCTAACGAAAATATTAAACTGGAGAAATTTAAAGTACTCGCTCTTGTGTACTCAGAGCCCACTTACATTCAGGACTGACTGTTTTCTAGTTGAATAGGAGAAGTGAACGTCCTTCAAAACAATGTGACCTGCTGCAACTTCCTTCCTGAGGCCTTCCTTTTCACGAAGTAGACGCAACTTTGAATTCACAGCATATTTCAGCATAAAGGCCTCAATAACATTGCCCTCAGATTCGCACCCTATCAATGGTTTCGTAAATGGCAGTAGCTGCCACCCTCGCTTTCAACAAGGCCATCATGTGTGGTCCAAGCATTCCAAGGTAGTAGGCGGTAAGCGAAATTGTGCCCACACAAAGAAGCACATCACCACGATCAGCAACCAAACCGTTGAAAAATCCATAACACCCAAACCTGAAGACCTGCGTTTAACAAAGAGCATTGAGGAATATGGATTTTATGTGATAATTTTGAAAATGGACTGAATAATTTCAGTAGCAACTAGAGAACATTATTACCAGAGGGCAACTCCAATAACAACGTATATTTGGAAGAAAGAAAGTCCCTCGAAAAATCCCATCCAGAAATGACCGCGAATAGAATACGGCAGTGCTCGACCGAGTGCTGCCTGGTATTTCTGGAATGGGAAAACTGCTTTATTGATCGCTTTTTGAAAACACTTTCATTCGGGTAAACTTAGGATATTTTCTTTTCAAATCAAGTTATAACTGCAGGCTTAACCCAGTAATCGTGTAAGAAACGAATCGCGTTTATCCTTCCTAATATGTCTACTGTCTTCGCGTGTTCTTTTTGCGGAATTTCGAAATTTTACAGAGAAAACTTCTAGGCCATCCCATTGGTGTCATTCTTTTCAAACGGAATATTTTCTGCTAAAATCCCAAGGTTTTACTTTATGTAATGGACCGCTCGAAAGAGACCAGAATAGGTCGGGACCGACGATGAGTAGAGGCTACATAAATTATGGCTCGACCATGGCTTGTGTTGTGCGAGAGTAGTACCGAAAGTGAACGTATGCGCGGAGAGCACAGACGGCCCGAGCATGGCGAGTGTGAATGTTTGCGCAGATTAAAAAAAGGAAGAAAAAGAAAAAGACAAAAAAATTTTTCACCCAAAAAACCAAAAAAGAGAAACGTCACTGACCAGAACGATAATCCTCGGACGGTGCGTTTGGGGACGCCATCGAGCCAATATTCACCCTAGTTTTCGCTTTGGCTAACTTCACCGACTGCACCTCCCAATTCGCAGACATGAAACTCAACGAGATTGCAAAGAACGTTTCGAGCGCTTAGTGACTTCATGTGAAAACATGGGACTTTAGCAGAAATTCCGTTTGAATAAAAGTGACAGTACTTATGGGACAACCTAATACTTTCACCATGAGACTTAAAGGAATCTTCCACGGACCATGGACCAGTGGGCGGGACCGGAAGTGGTTTTGCGACGAAATGCATGGTAGGTACGGATCCACGTTCATGGGAAGGTTTGAAGTGAATCCTGTTCACGTTCGTGCGTTCGACACGTGGATCCGTACCTACCATGCATTTCGTCACAAAAACTTCCGGTCCCGCCCACTGGTCCATGGGAAGATTCCTTTAACCGAGTTTCTCTGAACATGAAATTTAACCGAATTTCTTTAGCTACAAGGCTGTTCCTTTGAGGAAGGTAGGTGGGATGTTTCAACCACGCACGACTCACAAAAAGGCCATGTTTCCCTTCCTACCCCTTCTCGTTTCAAGGGTTGCAGAAACTGGGAGAGTTCTCATACATTGAGAAAACGGTAGCTTTTCCGTTTCTGTAATAGTACTGGCATGTACTACCTGCATCATGAACGGGAATCTGGGAGACATGAAAAGGTTAATGACAGGGATGCTACTCTAAAATTGAAACTCTGGTTTGAAGCTGCTTCAGCTATATAGCAAAGAGTAGCTGAAATGAAACAGGCGTTTTGTTCACGATCGGAAACGATCCCCTCACATGATTTGACTATGCATCTGTGCTATCTTAGGTGATAACTCCGTTTTAGATATGATAAAACCTCTCGACTTACCTTCACCATGTGTTCCTGTCCGTTACACGACTGCACGGTTTTCACGTTCATAACGGATTCTTCTGCTATGGAAGCGGCTTCTGTTTGTAATGTTCATCGCTTTGCCTAGGCTGACCGAGTTCACCTGAATTTGTAACAATTATTAAGAAGAAAGAACTAGCAAAAAATGAGGCCTCATTTATGCGACACTAATCAAAACCTGCTTTTTTAATGAAGGGTGAAAAATTAGCTCTCGTCGATAAAAATCTTTCATGTAGAGTATGCCACACCTTTAACCCATCTTTGGAACATGGAAAATCAAGTGGGTTGACCTATACGTGGGCGGCAGGGACTGGGTAACATTTTACCTTCCCCGAACGAATTCAACACCAACTTACCATCCCTGGAAAAAGAAAGGCTTGAGTGATACTCAATTAGGAATTTGGTTCCCTGACCCTCTGCGTGGGAAAAAGACGTTGCTATATAGTCGACAAGACGAAGGGTAATCCTGTTGAGGGGATTCATCATGTTACTCTTGCCATTCCGTATTAAGCCCATGGCTCATCGTAGAGTAAGTGTCAAGAAGCAACCTCCGTTCTCTAGCAATGTTATAAGGCAGTTAATAGTGGTATAGGATAATAGTAACCATATATAGATAACATACTCTTCCTAACATGGCCATAGTCACTGTGGCAATCGGTCCCATGGTGAGTGAGATCACGGTTATCTGCCAGTTGATGGCACAACAGGCGATGATCGATGAGAAGAACATGGAGAATCCTCGGAATAAGGAGGCCCATCTTGTCGCCCATGCCATCCTGTATTCGGGCGATGTTACTGAAGTA